ACAAACTCCGAAGCTTTTTATTCCGACGTCACAATGTTTACAGGGACGAAAAAGAGACCGTTCGGCTGTCCCAACCAAACATGTCGGCCAGCCGGAAGGGATAAAGTATGCTTCGCGAGCTTGTGAGCCTCGATATTCGAGCTTCTAAATTCGTGAGAAATATTACAGACTTGGAAAGAAAGTATATGCTCTAATATTTCATGTATGATCGCGCCATACTCTGTCGGGTTCTTCTCCTGGATATCTTGTACCACCACCTTCGCATCCGAGGCCACCTGGATGTTTGCCACGTTCAAATCATCAGCTAGGGCTAGAGCCTCCCTGATCGCCATGCAGTCGAGAATCGCCGGTTCAGCTATACCTCTGAAGACCACTGCCGAGGCTCCCAAGAAATTACCGTCTGAATCTCTAGAAATCGCTGCTACAGCTCCATGTCCTCTTCCTCTCCCCACTGAAGCATCAACATTAAACTTTGCCAGCCCTCCAGATGGAGCGATCCACCCTGATCGTCTTGGCGCTGGTCTCGAACTCTGCGACGTTTTGACGGACTGCAGTGCATTGAGTTCATTCACGTATGAGTTTACAAATGCTTGAACAGAGGACGGGCTTTGATAGATATGCTCATAAATTGCCTTGCGGTGTGCTCCCCACAGTGCCCAAAGAGTGACCACAAAGTTTGTGAACTCATCATGAGATAACGCCTCTTGCATGGAGAAAAGCCACCTCTTCGGGTCCGGTTCCTCGTTTCTATTAAGCACATCAAGTATGTGTTCAGAAGACAATGCTCATGTGCTTCGAGAGACAGTGCAGTTTAACAGCGCGTGTCTCCAAGTGTCTTCGGCTCCGCATAGGCAGCACGCGGCCGAATCCGCCATGTTTCGGTGATGCAAAAGTGCAGCCGTTGGAGTGGTACGCCTCGCAAGTCTCCACAGGAAGACTTTGAGCTTCGATGGTACCTTGATTCCCCAAAGTTTTGTCCAACCATCGCCATCTGCATGTGTGTGAGACGACCCATCTTGTTCATATAACCAAGCTTCAGGACTTAATTTCTTCTGCTGAATCATCCTATAGGCGGTTCTCATCGAGAATATCCCCCTCCTATCTTCGCTCCATGCCCAAAAGTCGTCAATCTGTCTTGTGCAAAGAGGGATCTGCAGAATTGCCTCCGCATCAATTGGTATAAAGGTTGACCGAACTAGTTGTTCATTCCACAAGGAGGTAGTGTGGTTGATAAGTTCTGAAACTCTCTGTGGCGGATGCTGGGTAAGAGATGTGATCGGTCTCTTTATAAGTGAGCGAGGTAGCCAATTGTCAGACCATATGTCGGTAGTTTCTCCATTGCCAATTCTCCTTACTAGTCCTTGCACCATAATGTCTCTCCCGTCAAGAATAGCCCGCCAGATCTGTGATGGATGGTGGCCCAACTCTGCTTCCAACAAAGATACATCCGGGAAATAAACACTCTTGAGTATGCGTGCGCTCAAGGAGGTAGGGTATTGGAGCAGAAGCCATGCCTGTTTGGACAGTAGGGCCAAGTTAAAAATTTCCAAGTCCCTAAAACCAAGGCCACCGAGATGTTTAGGCTTAATCATCTCGTCCCAGGATACCCAGCTTGGCTTACGCTTCCCTTGCTTACTCCCCCACCAAAACTGCCTGATCAAGGAAGTGATACTCTCGCATAAACCCCTTGGCAGGCGGAAGCATGACATAGAAAACACCGGTATGGACTGCGCGACTGACTTGATAAGTACTTCCTTTCCCGCAGCCGACGAATTTTTTTCCATCCAACCTCTGATCTTTTCCCATACTCGGCCTCCCAAGTATCTGAAAGTGCCATTCTTTGAGTGCCCCACATCCGTAGGCATACCCAAATACCTGTCGCTGAGGGATTCATTCTGGACATTCAAAGTGGTTTTGATGCTTTCTCTCATACCCTGCAGGAAGCCTCTACTGAAAAGATAGATGATTTCTCGTGATTTATGCGCTGTCCTGAAGCCAAACAGTATTGCTCCAACAGGTTTGATACTGCAACAACCCCTTTAACACTCGATTTAAACATCAGCAGGCTATCATCAGCGAAAAGGAGATGGTTCACGACGGGCGACGTGGGAGCCACCTTGATTCCTTCTAACTGAGACGACGAAGAACTGGATTTCAGTAGGCACGAAAGGCCCTCTGCTGCGATTAAAAAGAGGTATGGGGATATCGGATCTCCCTGCCGAATTCCTCTAGATGGATAAAAAGTGTCAAGTCTCTCACCATTAAAAAGTACTAAGAACGATACTGACCGCACCATGTTCATGATGATTTGTACCCATGCTGGAGCGAAACCCAGCTTGATCATTATCGCCTGCAAGTAGTCTCACTCTAGTATGTCGTATGCTTTCATCATATCTAGCTTTAGGGCACAAAAACTATTAACTTTGGCTTTACTGTGCTTCATAAAGTGGAGACACTCATAAGCACTGATGATGTTATCTGTAATATGTCTCCCTGGCACAAAGGCCGACTGCTCCTCTGAAATAATCTCTGGGAGAACCTGCTTCAGTCTATTTGCAATCACCTTGGACGCGATCTTGTATAATACATTGCATAGACTAATCGGCCGGAATTGAGTTAGCAAAGATGGATTCATTACCTTAGGGATGAGAACCAAAACAGTATCATTAATACTTTCTGCACTCTCCTCTCCCCGAATTATCCTTAGCACAACCTCCGTCACCTCAGCGCCACAGAGCTCCCAATGATGTTGATAGAAATGAGCTGGAAAGCCATCGGGGCCGGGCGCTTTGGTTGGAAACATCTGAAAGAGGGCTGTCTTAACTTCTTCCTCCCTGTACGGTGCACCGAGAAGATTGTTCATCTCTGTTGTTACCTTAGTTGGTACACAATTTAGAACCGTTTCCATGTTGCTTACTCCCTCCGAAGTATATAGAGATTTATAGAAATCGTGCACCATTGCTTTGAGTTCCTCCGGGTCATCAGTCAGAGTCCCCAAAGAGTTTTGTAGAGCCTTAATCATATTTTTCTTCCTCCTAATGCTTGCTCTCAAGTGAAAAAACTTCGTGTTCCTGTCACCCGCCGAGAGCCACTCAACCCTGGACCGCTGCCTCCATAAGATTTCTTCCCTATGATAAAGCTCTACTAGATTTTCATTGATCTTCAGCTCAGCATGAGTAGGCGCAGTTCTGCTTGGGTCCGACCGAAGTTTCTCCAGCTCCCCTTTTAGATTTTTAATTTCTTTCCGCACATTACCGAACGTCTCATTATTCCAGCGCCCCAAATCAAGTGATATCGCCTGAAGCTTAGCTCGTAAGCCGTCTGCTCCATTACTAACTCCGCCTCCCATCCATGCAGATGTAATTGTATCGCTCCAGGTTTCATGCCCTTCCCACATGACTTCATACCTGAAGGGTTTCTGCTTCCAACTGCTTTGCTGAACTCTGTTTAGGCTCATTAAAATTGGACAATGATCAGAAGTTACCGCCGTCAAGTGTGTCAAATCTGCTAACGGAAACCTTGCTCGCCAATCACCATTGACCAGCGCACGATCCAGTCGGACCCTAGTGTAGGATCCTCCCCTCACCTTCTTTTCAAAAGTCCAAAAACGGCCATTATAGCCGATGTCCAGCAACATGCACACATCTACTGCCTCCCGAAAACTCTGTATCTGTGCATTGCTCCGTTGTCCCGCTCCCTCATGCTCCTCGGGACGCAAAACTTCATTGAAATCATCAAGGCAAAGCCAAGGGAGGTTGCATGAAGAGCTAATGTTTTTCAGGGTGTCCCATGTTTTATAGCGTAGGTGGGTTTGTGCTTCGCCATACACTACCGTGGCTCTCCAGGGATCGAGCCCATCCTCCTCAATAGAGCAATCTATATGGTAATCCGAATAACCAAGAATCTCAACTTTTATTTCATTGTTTCAAAAAATACCAATTCCTCCGCTTCTACCACGACTGTCAATTGCAAAACTATTGTCATAACCAAATGTACCAGCTAGCAATTCTACCCTCGAGCCTTCTATCTGAGTTTCGACAATACATAAGAGGGTAGGGGTAAATTTGTTTGCAAACTCGCGAACCTCTCGAACTGTCGCGGCTTTACCCACGCCCCGACAGTTCCAGCATAAAACACTCATTGGACCCGGCGGTGCTCCTCAAAGGAGCCCGCCAAATTCTTCACAGTTGATGCTGACAATTCTGAGTCTTCTCCCGCCTTCTTGGTTCTCTTCAAGTCCCTGTGCGGTGGGGGGCTGGCTGCAGTTATACCCGCAGGCACAATCGCAAGTGAGTTAGCATCTGCAGGTGCCGTTTCTGGATTCTGGTGAGACATGGGGTGTTTGGCTCCTAGCTCGGCTCCCACGTTCCTCTTCCTGCTCCAGTCCTCCATCTCTACGTCGCTAGCCGCCTTGCTTGGGTCATAATCCTGGGCTGATCCGTACACCTGTCTCTCTGTCATGATATCTCTTCCCTCCTCAGAACGGCCACTTGAGCGCTCCCCAGCACGGCCACCTCTGCGGCCACCGCGCTGGCTACGGCCTTCCCCCGGACCCCTTCCATTGCGCATGACCCAGTTAGCTCGGAGATCCTTGAACACAAGGGCTGACGGAGGGTGAACACCATTGTCGTGTTCCTTAAGAATAGTATTAGAAAAAAAATCATTTTTTAAAGGGTAGGCTAGAGCCCTATGAAGCCCACCCACTGGACTTGCCACTGCGGACGAGGAGTCGAAATCCAGGGCCGAAAACATGGTAACGTGACATGATGCGTGACATGAGCCGGCCGTCCGGCCACCGCCTGCGCGAGTAATGCTCCGTGCGCATCGTCGAAAACAAGGAATCGCCGAGGAAGCATCTGCGGTTCTGCACTCCTGCCAGCTGCTACCAAGTCGTCATAGTGGGCAGCAGAGCTTCCAAAGAAGATTTAAGTAGCAAGGGCCAAGGCCAACCTGCCACATCGTTCACTAGCTAGTTCCAAGAACACACCGATCGACCGGCGATGGCAGCAGCAGCAGCAAGCAGAGAGGAGCGGTGGAGCCTCGCCGGCAAGACGGCCCTCGTCACCGGCGGAACCAAAGGAATTGGGTACGCCCTGCCCCTGCATGCATCTTTCTTTCATGCCGCTAGTTTTGTGACTGATCGCACACGCTGACACGCTCACTTGCGTACCATGCATGGCGCAGGCGCGCGATCGTGGAGGAGCTCGCGGGGTTCGGCGTCCGGGTGCACACATGCGCCCGGAGCGACGCCGACGTGCAGGAGCGGCTGCGCGGGTGGGCCGCCGACGCCGACGCGGGGCGCCTGAGCGGGCGCGTCACGGCCTCCGCCTGCGACGTGTCCGTGCGCGGCGACCGGGAGGCGCTCATGGCCACGGCCCGCGCCGAGCTGGGCGGCAAGCTGGACATCCTCGTCAACAACGCCGGGCAGACCTTCTTCATGCCGGCCACGCAGAGCACGGCGGAGGACTACGCCCGGCTCATGGCCACCAACCTCGAGTCCTGCTTCCACCTCGCGCAGCTCGCGCACCCGCTCCTCGTCGCCGCCGGGGGCGGCAGCGTGGTGAACATCTCCTCCGTCGCCTCGGCCATCGCGTACCCGGTGCTGTCGGTGTACTCGGCGACCAAGGCGGCCATGAACCAGCTCAGCCGCAACCTCGCCGTCGAGTGGGCGAGCGACGGCATCCGCGTGAACTGCGTCGCGCCGGGGGGCATCCGGAGCGACATCCTCCAGAGCAGCGGCATCGAGGTTGACATGGAGGCGTTGCTGGCGATGGGGAAGAAGGAGAACGAGCGCGTCGCGCTGGGCCGCATGGGCGAGCCGGAGGAGGTCGCGTCGCTCGTCACGTTCCTGTGCATGCCGGCCGCGTCCTACGTCACCGGGCAGGTCATCTACGTCGACGGCGGCCGCACCATAGCGGCCTAGGCTTCGCTTGCTACTCGATTAAACTGTTCGAGTAGCTACTGTTCTTTATATGCTACTAAAATAAGCATCTTCGTTTCGAGTTCAAAGACGACGACGAAAAGGCATCTTTTGTTCCATCTTGGACGAACGCTTGAGACATTTTGTTCCATCATGCGGACCGAACTATGCGTGCACTTTCATTGTTACAAAAGACTAGTAGATATGCCTACGCATTGCAATGGTCGGGAGGATAATTGATGTTTTCACAAAATACGGTCTTGGTTGCCGTAGGTGATAGAGCGAGGAGCTGCAGTTTTCTTACGGGCATGTTTGGCCCACAAAATCTTGATAGTAGTGAGGTTGGTCGACGTGACAGTGACCACTTAATTTGTGCCTTTTTTTTCTCCGGGTCCGCTTTGTCTCGGGGTTGCGGTCCGCTCCTCTGGTGGTTGCACTGCAATCTTGCTTCGACCACTCGATGGCATAACCGGATGGACCACCAATCCCTGTGCATAACCAAACATGAATGTTTCTTTTTTTTTATCAGGGTCCATTCTCTTTATTTTAGCGTTCACCTGCCCACAGTTTTTTAAGCCAAACCGACATATTCTATTTGATTGGCATGTGCAAGCTACCACTGGCAATAAATATGGGGTCCCTAATTCTGCATATAATTCTCGAGACAACTTATTTATTCCAGACAACCTCCTTATTTTCAGACAAGCTGATGATATAAAAACGGGTGGCATTTTAATATAAGGTCCAAGGTGAGGCTATTGGTATCATAATTGCAAGCTAGCTGAGTTAGTTTTGTTCATCGTCACAATAGGAAAGGTCCATGGTTCAATCCCCTTGTGGTCTAAATTTTTTGCTGCTCGTCAGTCCGACAAAAAAAGAAACGTGTGGTAGGCCCATTCGGCCCACCCGGGGGATAAATGAAAAAAAATATCCAAGAACTACATGCGGACCGGACGGAACAAAATCAATACATATATTTAACTAGTACTAATAGAATATCCATGCGTTACAACGAGCTGCATCGGCGACTTCCTTTTTATTGTTAAAGTGCTCTCATTTTCTACCCTATTTTTTTGTCTATCTCCCACCTCCACGGCCCAGCTTTGCACCTTTTGGCGCTGCTAGCCAGGGGCTGCTAGAGCACGAGGCACAGGCGCTACAACAATGTGGGTCGCCGGTGCTGCAGACATAGGCGTCGACCGTTACAAGGCCAACACCACTCACTGCGGGGCTGCTATAGATCAGGAGCACCAATGGTTCGAAGTGGTCGCCCTCACTCATTGCATTCTTGAGCTAATTGCTTTATCAGGCCTAAGAGCATCTCCAACAGCCGTGCTAAGCGCCGCACGCAAAAAACCTGTTTGCCGCGCGCGCTTCGGCTGGTTTAGCGCGCCCGCCTGTGCTGGCTCTAGCAGCCGCGCTATAATGCAGCGCGCGCGCGCCGCTCCAGCAGAGCGCAAAAATACAACGCGCGTGCGCGCCGCACAAACCACATATACATGTATTTTATGAGCAAAAATGATCAAACAAACAAAATAAATCAACAATAAATAGTTCAATTTCGTTATCATTACAACTCAAACAAATAGTTTATCGTTCAGTACAACAAATGCAATAAACACAACAAATAGTTCATGAACAATACAATGTCGAATGCAGATATCATCATGCTCTTTGTCGTCCATGCCATGCCCACCACTCTTCAATCAAATCATTCTGAAGTTTATTGTGCGTTGCAGGACGCCGAATGGCATGATAGGAGGCAATAAAACGGGCTACCCTTTCAGCCCTCCGTCGCACTCGCACGGGATATCCCAAGAGCTCATACTGTGAGTAGTCTAAATCTTGGCCACGCTCATTCTCGATGATCATATTGTGCATGATCACACAAGCGTGCATGATGTACCAAAGCATTTTTTGATCCCAAAATCTAGCCGGTCCTCTCACAATAGCAAATTGGGCTTGCAAAATCCCAAATGCTCTCTCCACATCTTTTCTAGCCGCCGCATGAGCATTGTGGAAGTCAGGATTTTTCTTACCTTCCGACTTTTTCAACGGCTTCACGAAGGTTTGCCACTTTGGATAGATGCCATCCGCTAGATAATAGCCATAGTTGTACGTACGGCCATTTGCTACAAACTGCACCGGTGGCAATTCACCGTTTACAATCTTATTCATCAGTGGTGACCGGTTGACAACATTGATGTCATTCAAAGATCCAGGCATTCCAAAGAATGCATGCCAAATCCAAGTCTCCTGATCGGCCACCGCTTCAAGGATTATAGTGGAACCCTTTTTTGGCCGTGGAATTGCCCATGCCATGTCTTTGGACAATTCTTCCAACTCCAATTCATGCAATCTATTGAGCCAAGCATGCCAGGAAAACCGCGAGCTTTGTTCATCGCCAATAGCCTTGCGACGTCTTCAGCATTGGGAGATCTCAAATACTCCTTGCCAAACACTTGCACAATTCCCACTGCAAAGCGCTTGACACACATGATGGCTTGGCTCTCACCCATAGCCAAGTGATCATCAACAAGATCAGCCGGTATACCGTATGCCAACATACGCAAAGCGGCTGTCACCTTCTGAAAGGTGCTATGCCCGAGCTCTCCGGCGGCATTCCTCCTTTGCTGAAAAAAACGGTCATGGCTCGCTAGTTTCTCTGCAATGCGCCTGAACAACTCGGTGCTCATCCTAAACCGGCGACGAAAATACGACT